AGTCATTGTGGTGAGATAATGAAGAAGCTGAGGGATGTCCATTTTCAGTGAAAGAGCACACATAAACAACTGGATTGGGGAAAGAAGGCACAGCTGCTCCTAAAGAAACCCCCATCTCCACCTATGTTGTCTCCTCTTCTCTACCCATCCCTTAAATACTGGAGTGGCCAAGTTCTGTCCTCAGCCTTCTAACTCTACTCACTGCCTCTGCAGTCTTCATTCACATCCACAGTCTATCTCCCACCTAACCATGTCCAATCCAGCCCCAGATCCCACCCCCAAACGTCCCCTGGGCATCCAACTGGATTTTGCAGACCCCTCAACATTATACACGTCCAGAATTGAATGCATCTTCCCCCCAGGTGAGCTTCCTCCTTCTCTGCATTCTCTTATCTTAGTGAATGGTAACACCATCAACCTACCCACCTGCCCAATCTGTAAACCACAGTCACTTTTAATTCCTCTTCACCTTCCAAATCCAGTAAGCTTTACTAACACAACCTACCTGCTTAAACATCTCTAGAATCCTTCTCTGTATCCTGTTCATTTTCACTGGTATGACCTTAATTAGGGCGTGAATTCAGCATATCCCCACTGGACTCTAACTGTTCTCTCTGACCCTCCTGCTGGCCACCCTCTTGCCCTGATCTAAATCTGTTTGTCCATTAGAATCTCCCAGGGAGCCTTTAAAAATAACAGATTTCTTAAAAATAATAATAATAACACAGATTTCTAACGCCCACATTAGCCCTTCTGAATCTGACTCTTTGGGGATGGTACCCAGGAAGGTGTACATTCAGAGAGTGCCCTGGTTTGTTTTTGCAGCCAGGACACAGAGAGCATTGGAAACTACTGCTCCATCCCCGTAAGGAATCTCCCTTCTTCCCTCCCACGACAATGAGAAGCACGCTAGAATGCTGTCACCTCCTTCTGTTTCTCTGGACTTTGCTCTGTCACTCTTGTATGTATCTTCAACCTTGCCCTCCCCACTGGGTCTTTCCCAACACTGTTTAAACAAAGGTTTCTCTCAACTTAAAGAAACTCTCCCCTGACACCTGCGCCACCTCAAAGAACAACTCGCTCTCCTGCCCTTCCTACCCAACATCCTCGAAAGTGCTTTCCGAGCTCAGTCCCCACTTTTCATCCCACTCACTCCTCGGCCACCTATAATCTGACCTGTCTCCCCAACAACTGGACAAGCTATCCTGGAAAGGTTCTGGATGGCCTCTTTCCCAAAAGGTCATGTTTCAGTATTTTTTTGAAAATCCTTGGAGCGTTGAATGCTACTAGCCACTGCCTCCATGAAACTCTTTCCTCCTTGTTATCCTGCCATCTCCTTAGCCACCCCTCAGTCCTCCTCCCCGGCTCCTTCTCTTCTCCCTCTTTAAATGTTCAGTGTGTACAGTTCTCAACTCACCTTCCACTGCCCTCTGAATGACTTCACCGCACACCTCTTAGGAATGGCTTACTCCAGCCATAATCAACAATCCCCTAATTCATGACCTCCTGCCTCTTTGCCAGGCCCTGCCCAGGCTCTGCCCCTCACAGAGGCTCCCTCTCCACTACTATGCCTGACAACTCTTACTCATCCCTCAAAAATAGCTCAAATATTGCCTACACCGTGACGTCTTCTTTAACAACTGTGCCTTTCCCCCCACCAACCAACTCCCTGCAATAAACCCATAGCACCAAGCACAGAAGATAATTTCTTTTTTTAAAAAATTTCCCCAATAGACCCTGAACTCCTTGAGGGCAGGAACTATACCTGGAATACTCGCACATGAGATGTACAATTAATGCTGGTTGAATCCTTCATTACACAGTGAATACATAGTGAAGTGAGTACGTAATGGGACGCATCAATAAATGAAATGTAAATGACACATACATTACTCAACATGGAGCTGAGTGACAGCATTGGTCCATAAGCAAGGAATCTTAAATAAGTCATGAACACTACTCCTATGCACTTTTACCCAGTCAGAATTGTGTCTGGACAGACAACAATCCAGTTTCAAAGAAATGGTCACAAATGTCCTTCCTCTGATTAATTGCCCTGGCTGCACTAGCCATCCTTAGTACCTTGAAAACAACCTGCTGTGCCTGTTTCAGAATCTTTGCACCTCAAAATGAAGATTTTTCAACAAACTCTGACATGGCTGGCTCCTTTAACAGCATTTGGGTTTCAGCTCAAATGCCACCTTCCCAGATATCTTCCCTGACCACACATGCCAAAGCAGTACTCTGCCATGACTTCAATCTTTGCCATTACCCTCTTATTTTCTTCATAACACTTATCACAATGTGAAATCTCACTAATTATTTGTTAACCTATTTGATGGTGGTCTCTTTTATCCTGTTTACCAGATTATCCTCTGTACATGAACAGTATGTGTCTTATAAGGGTACTCAACAGACACTTCTTGAATAAGTGAATAAATGAATGAGAGAGAAGAGCAAGTTTAACACTAAAACACCATTATCTACTAGTCACAAAATGTGGGAAATATGCAGATGGCAGGAAATGGCAGAGATTGCTTCCTCAAAAGACTTTTTGGACTGGCTGGTTAACTCAATTGGTTACAGTGTGGTGCTATATATTTTTTTTTTTTAATTTTTTTGATGGCTGCCCAGTGTGGGGACCCAAACCCTTTGACCTTGGTGTTATAACACCATGCTCTAACCAAATGAGCCAACCGGCTAGCCTAGACTGTGGTATAACACCAAGATCAAGAATTTGGATCCCAGTACCTATCAGCTGCCAAAAAATAAATAAAAGAAAGTCTGCTTCACCACCCATGGGGGCAGGGGTAGGTAGATGTATTACCCTTACTCAAGATCAGAACTTTGATTCACCAAAAGGCATCCAACTTCGTATCTAAAGGAAATCACTTCCCTCTCAGTAGGTAGCATCACCAGAGAAAGATTATAAAGCAGGATAACTGTTAAAATGCAGACTTGCCAAATGACTAGACCTAGAAAAACTGTGCCTAAACTCCACTGTAAGCACTGTAAACAGTGGGACCAAGACTTTTTTCACCATTACGTTTCCAGCACCTAGCACAGTTTGTGGCCCACAGCAGATACTCAAAATGTCTGTTAAATGAGCACATAAGGGGCTAGCTAGTTGGTTGGATCATGGTGCTGATAACACCAAGGTCCAAACTTTGATCCCTGTACTGGCCAGCTGCCAAAAACAAAACAAAACAAACAAACAAAAATGAGTATATAAGACATGGCCTTCTGAGGAATGGCCATCCCATCAACTCTTAGAACTGCGGATGCACTTATTTTAGAAACAGGCCACAGTAGCTGAGGAGGTGCCCTTAGCCTCATCTTCTCTCTGGGCAGCAGTTTAGTTCCCAGAATTCAATATTCATAAACCTTTGCCATAAGTTATGAAGTATTCCTTCCCCAGGGTCACCTGTATCAAATGTGAATACATTTTGCCAATACAATCTAATGGCTAATACATTTCAGTAACCCAATAACAGATTTCTCTTGCCCTTTTAATTTTTTATATGTATTTTGGTCAGCAAGGGTAGCTCAAAATGCTGAGAGATGGGCCGGCCTGTGGCTCACTCGATAGAGTGCGGTGCTGATAACACCAAGGCCGCGGGTTCGGATCCTATATAGGGATGGCCGGTTTGCTCACTGGCTGAGCATGGTGCTGACAACACCAAGCCAAGGGTTGAGATCCCCTTACCGGTCATCTTTATAAAAAAAAAAAAAAAAATGCTGAGAGAACAACCAATATTGAAGAAGTCCATCACTGATATTACATCCAGCAGTGTATGAAAACCACACCACCTTCCTGAACTGTCAGCTTCACCAACACTCATAATGCTCTTCATACAAAGGGTAGTGTAGGGAAGATTAATTAGCTCGTACTTGTAATATACTCCGGGCCGATGTATAAAAGATGCCATCAATCAAATTAATTATGAAACAAGAGAAATGATAAATATTAAACCCAATTTAAAACTTGAGAAGTTAAGAAGTGAAGATTTAAAATTATGTCTGTGGCTCTGATACTCACTGTCAGACTAAGACGTATACTCAGAAAAAGATTCATGACATTCACAAAAGATCTTTAATATTTGGAAATGTCAGATGTTCTGTACTCTGGCAACATTAACTTCACATGTATAGAGATATGAAGTATCAACAGTAACAAGCAACTGCAAAGTTACAGCTGTTCAAACATTTCAGTTGCTTGTATCCGCACCTAATCTCAGTGCTGTTTGCTTAACACACAGACCATCTTGCCGAAAGTCAATTAAACACACTCGATTTCGGTAGAAAAACAGTTTAAAGGCTTTATATACTTCTTTCTTTCTGCTGACCCCGGTGATAGCGCAGTAAAATAACAGCAACATCCACCAGCAAAATGTGCGCTTTTTTCCTCTCCAAACGACTTCCTAACTTCCCTCCACTTTGAAAGTGCCATAAGCACCTTAATCAGTTTTTATCTAAAAACTCTTCGGCGAGAGTGGGGAGGAAACACGTCTCCGTCACACGGAGGGGTCAGCCTGCAGGGAGAGTCGGTTCGGTCGCACAGTAGCCTAAATCAATGGGGCGACTGTGAAGGGGGCAGGCGTCCAGCCTCGCCTCCACCTGGAGGCTCTCCTCTTTCAGCCTGGCACAGCGCCGCAAAGGGCATGGGGCCGGGCCTCGGGAACACCAGAGCACCCAGCCCGCCCCAAAGTGCCCAGCCCACCTACGGCAGCCCTAGAGCTCCTGGGCATAGCACCTGGGGCTCACAGGTGGGGGCCGGGGCTGACGGCGGGACTCAGTGCCCACTCGCCCCTCCAGGCTGAGGTGGGGACAGTACCCGCTGCTCCCCAAGGGCAGGAACTACCAAGGTTCGGGCGCGGGGAGGAAGGGTCGGGACCCCAACCTCCTGCAAACCCGAGGGTCCCCGCCGCCCCCAGCCTCCTCAAGGAGGTGCCCAGGGCGGCGTGTAGGGGACAGACAAGACGGCGGTGGCCGGTACTCACAAAGCCCACTTGAGCCGGTGCTGGTGAACATGGTCCCGCCGGGCCGAAGCCCCCGCGGGGGGGATAAGGGGGAGTGGTAGCGGAGGTGGAGAGTCCCGGCGACCGCGCAGGCGCACTCCGGCGGGGCGGCCAATCGGCCTCCGCGATGCCACTCCCCTGAGCGCCTGACGAAGGGCGCATGTGCGGCCAGTGAGCGCACCCGTTGGGTCAGCGCACTCGCTTCCTGCCGGGAAGGGAAGTGCGTCCGCGGCAGGACGGGTCCTCCCCTCCGGGGTTTTTCCTACGGCCGCGGGCCTCGCTTAGAAAGGGAGTGGGAAGGCACAGGAAGAGTGGAGCTGTGGCTCACCGGGAGCCGCACACGTGACCAGTGCCGCCCCAACAGCCCGTGGAGCCACGATGCCAGCGGAGGCCTCTGGCATGCCGACCCTGGGCATTCCCCGCGACCTCTAACCTCTCTGGACGGGACGCCTGGCGCGTTCCACGCATGCTCAGTCTTGCCAGGCAGTGTTCCGACGCTCGCTCCCCGCAGGCTGTTGAGGGGTAGAAGCGTCTCGGGTTCCGGCGCCCAGCCAAGTCCGGGAGGTCTCTCGAATGCGACGGAAGGGTGGCTGGAGCTGAACGTCCCTTCCCGTCGCGGAGAGCGGGGCAGTCAAGCCCCTGCCTCTTTTTCCCACGTGGGTGTCGGGACGCAGCCCCCCGCCGCGGAGGCCGGAGATGGGGCGGAGGAGCGACCCTGCTCCCCGGGCTTCCGCCCTGCGGTCCGTCCAGACTCAGGCCTTTCCATTTTTTTCCTTTTGCGGAATGAAATTACTCTTCGCTAAAGTCACGGTTTTTAAAATGAGGTTGAGCCTGAAAACAGTAAATCTCATATTATGCCGTCGTTAAAAAAGTTTTTAAAGAATACATATTATGGGGAAATTGACCACAATACATGGCTAAATGGAAAGGACAAGCCGCAAAACATGCACAGCATGCTTTTTTATATATATAAAAAAAATTTATTTTGAGAGCTTGTAAGGGCCAACCAGTGTGCTAAGTCTGGAGTTCATGGATCAATAAAAACAGTTACTAGTCTTAAAGAGAGGTTCCAAATGGGCTAAAATATCCACATTGACGGTTTGTAGAAGGCAAAAGTGTAGGTGATTTTTATTTCCTTCTTTAGGCCTTATACAAATCTTTGTTCAAAATCTTGAAATACCTCTTAACATTGAATCTTCAGGTTCATTCAGTTGCGTTATTTTGCAGGAAAACGATAGTCTAAAGGTCCTTTATGTATGCAGAAGCTGTTGCTTGGCCACAAATCATGTAGCCAACATAGGACGGTCATTTTCAAAGTGGACGTGGGGACCTCTGGCCTGTTTAGGGGATCCAAAAGACCAAAACTATTTTCATAGTAATAAGACATTATTTTTCTTTTCTACTTTTATTCACTTATGAGTATATAGTGGAGTTTTCCACGCACAGTTGGAAGAACTGCATAACTCTGTGAACCCATATTTCCAGTTGACTAATGTGTGATGTTAATTCACGCATGGGTAAAAGATCAATGCAAACAGCAGGGTAGACCAGTAAGTTTTAGTGTAACGGAGTACAAAAGTTTATTGATATTGTTTCAGACTCGTCTGCAACTAATCTTTAAGAAATCAGCACTTGTTAAGTTATGATGTGGTTTCAAAAAAGAATATACATATCTGAAAAAGCTATTAGAATACTTGCTTTTCCGACTACCTACAATGTGAGGCAGGATTATCTTCATACATCTCAACCAAAGCAATGGATCACAACAAAGAAGCAGCAGCTGTGATGTTCCAGCTAACATCTATTGAGCCAGGCATTAAAGACATCTGGGGCTGACTGATTAGCTTACTTGGTTAGAGTGTGGTGCTGATAACACCAGGGTCAAGGGTTTGGATCCCCCCAAAACAATAAATAAGTGAAGACATTTGCTAAAATGCTAAACAATGCTGTTCTTCCCCATAATTTTTTGCTTGGGAAACTACGGTAACTTTGCATAAAAACATGTTGGTTTTTAAAGAGAGGTATATTATTGCTACTTCAAGATGAATTTCATAAATATTTTTAACATTTTTCAGTTTTTAAAATATTTATGAAATTCATCTTAAAGTAACAATTTAAGAACCATTATCAAAGTTTTAATTTCTAATATGGTAAATACCAATAGATATAAACCCACATAAACAAAACTCTACAGTTCTCAATCGTTTTTAAGAGAGTAAAGGAATCCCAAGACCACAAAGTTTGAGAAATGCTGAAATAGAGATAATGCTCTCAAGTTTAAGAAACAAAGACAAACTCTTCAATTACTGTGTTCAATTTGGCAAACGTTCTTTGCACTACATGCAAAGTAGTACACTATCCAGATCTTGCTTGAAAGTATTTGCACTGCCCTGTACCTTGATTGTACGCCTACTCTGCATCCTGAGAACCTGTACATGTTGACTGGTAGAAGACCGTAGTCTTGTCTTCCAAAGGAGCTAGTGTGGTCCTTGGACTGGTAGTATCAGCCTCACCTAGGATCTTGTTTGAACTAGAGTGCCAGGCTTCAGACCTATTAAAGCAGAATTGGCATTAACAAGACCCCCCACCTCCAAGTGATTTATATACATATTAAAGTCTGAATAGCATTAGTGCATTTATTCTTTTCGTTGTTATTCTTCTAAATTTTATTTTGGGAAATTTTGATCATATACAAAAATAGAATAGTTTCATGAACCCCAATGTGCTTTTCACTCAGCTTCAACCATTATCAATTAATGGCCAATGTTTTCTTTATCTCCCATTCTCTATGCCCATATCCTTTTAAAAAAAAATTAATTCATTATTTTTTTTACATTCTAATATGTAGAGCGGGGGGGGGAGGGGGAAGGGGTAGGGAAATAGGGTGGGAGGAGGAGGAATGAGGGGCGACATGGTTGAGGCCCGTAGCACCCCCTCATTCTGGCACAGGAGACAAGAGGGATTCCAGTGGTGGCTTCATTATTGCTGGGCTGATTGCAGATGTCAGGGGGTGTGGCTGAGGCTCTTGGCTCCCCACCACCCCGGCTCAGCTCAGGAGCCCAGGGTATTTCCAGTGGCAGCTTGGTGGTTATCGGTGGGCTTGGTACAGACATTGTGGGGGGCGTGGCTGAGGCCCAGTGCATTGATTCTTCATGAGAAGATTTTGACCTTTAGTGGAGAGTATCTGGAGATATTTTTGGGTGTCACAGCTTGTGGGGCAGGAGACACAACTGGCATCTAATGGACAGAGGCCAAGGATACTGCTAAATGTCCTATGGTACAGAGGAATGCTCCCACAATAAAGAATTACCCTGCTGAAAATATCAGTAGTTCAGAGATTGAGAAAGCCTACACTAGTGTAATTCATCCAGACTTTATCATGAAGTCCCTAGAACTCTTAGTGTATATCATTTCTGTTGCGCTTACCTGTATTTCCACCTTGTCTCTTTTCTACATTTTATTATGAAGAACTAATTCTCTTGATCACTAGGAATCATCTTTTTCCTTGCTGTGTTTTGTTGAATCTGCTTTCTACATTGGTAGTAATGGTGGTACACTTGTAAGCTTTAGAAGCTACACGCAACACGAGGAAATCATCATGTTTGTGTAAGCTTTACAGAGGTGAAGAGTTGTCTCCACCAGAAAGACCCAGAAGTCGGAATAGCTTCTGATGCATCATGAGATAAATTATCACAAATCAACAGTTAACTTCAACAGTTCAGTGTCTAGGGAATGCAGAATGGGAATGTCAGTTCTTCCAACATATTTGGAGGTAACACTTATAGGGACCTTAGTGATTTAATTTTTATATAACTCGCCCTTTTCATTTATTTACAACCAAATTAATAAGGCTGCTTACAGGTAACAATGTGTCGACATACAAATTGAAAGAATAATTTGCTACCTACCACCACTAGCTATGTACTTTAACAGCATCATTGAATAAATAAGTTACCCAATTCCTCTGCCCAGTAAACTACTTTCCCAAAATATCAGCTCAAATGTTACCTCCTTGAGACTGTAACAAGAAGTAGTTATTCTCTCTTCCGTGCTTCGGTCATACTTGATGCTCACCTGCATTATAATACTTATTTCATTGTCTCTACTAGTACGTTTCTGTCTTCTACTATGAAAGCCTCAGCCCATAGAGGACAGGGAATGCATTTTGTAAAATGTTGTATTGTACCGATTTTGAGTTTCTTGGTGTGAAGACATTGTCTTCCTTTAATAAAATTAAACAGCTTTTCTAAGGTCTTAGCATTAGAAAGAATCTCCAGGTGGATCATGTTAAGGAAAAAATTATTCGTGAAACTTGTTTGGTTGGGTTTTTTTGGACAACCCTTCCCCTTGACCTGGTGTTATAATAGTGCTCTCTAACCAACTGAGCTACCTGGCCAGCTCATGACACTTATTAAAGACAGTGTTAAACAAAAATTATAGGAGGCTACTGTCTTGGAGTAAGTTCCTGCTCTATGCCTTAAAAGACCAGACTAAAAATCGAAATGGAGTCACCCCTGGTAAAGTTCCACGTCACCAAACTAAAACTAAGTTATCTGACTTTCCAAGAAATCAGGAGAGAGAAATAAGCCAATTTTCCAAATGGGCTTGTATTGCTAGGGCTATTGTCAGAATCCTGCTGACACAGCCAATTGTATTGCTAGGGCTAGAACTAGGGCCACAGACCCTTCAAACCCATTGTACAGACTGGGTCACAGACTCCTCACATGCCAGACTGGGTCACCAGACCCCCCACATGCAGCACATGCAGGTCCACAAGCTAGGTAATTGGGAAAAAAATCCCAGGAGCCGTTGGCACATGACACAAGCACAGGCCTCAGCAGCAACAGCAGCTTACAGATGCAAGAGGTGGCAGCAGCCTCCCCATGGCCCCACTGAGAGTGTCAGAGAGAGCAGGGGGCACTGTGGGTCAGAGCCGCTCGTCATTTATACTCAAGTCCAATAACCCAGGACACCTGGGTGTGAGTCAGACAACCCAGGAACACCTGGGTGCACATGTCCACTTACATTAGACAATAACCAAGGAACACCTGGGCACACGTGCATATTTACATCAAATGCTCAGCAAGATTCTGAACATCTGAGGGAGCCCTGACCATTTTCCTATATTTTCCCTACAAGGCCAGTTTCAATCTTCAATTGGCATGATAATGAAGTTCCCTCTTTTAATCCTTGCAACAAAAAGTAACCTGAAGTAACCTGGTGTTAACTAATCAGTTGTCTTTCCATTGTTCTATCTTCCTGTCCCCCCTAACAAGGAAAGTAATTTTGGCATGACCAATCTGCTTTTTGTTCTTTGTTTCTGCTTTCTTCAGCCCTTTCTGTCTATAAAACCAACCCCATAGCTCAACCGATTGGAACACTTATTCTATTTTATGAAATGAAGTATTGCCTGAATTCTAGAATCACAATAAAGCCAATTGAGATATTTAAAGTAAATTTGTTGTAATTTTATATTTGGCAATTGTTCGGAAAATATAGGAAAAAATGGTCAGGGCCCCTCAGGTGTTCAGAATCTTGCCACGTATTTGATGTAAATAGGCATATGCGCTCAGGTGTTCCTTTGTTATCATTTAGTGTAATTGCACATGTGCACCCAGGTGTCCTGGGTTATGGACTTAAGTATAAAGGATGAGTGGCTCTGATCCACAGGGCCTTCCAGCTCCAGGATGCTCCCCTGTGGGGGGGGGGGCGGCATGGGGAGGCCACTACTGCTGCTGGAGGCTGCTGCTGCTAGTGCCCCCAGGACCCTCTG